TCAGATGGGAGGTCAATACAAGAGAGCACACTTGACCCATCTTTTCATTACGGAATTTGTTACGGAAGAAGAATGGATTGCAGCACAAAAAGGACATCGTTGTTTATGATGTCATGCCACAGTACAGCACTGAGGTAGTGCCACAATGAAGCTGTTGACCTGTGCCATTGCACAATCTACCACATTGGTTGACTTTTCTATGTCAAGGCTATGGCACAGCAGCTTATCATTTATAAATGACAGGTAACAACTTGATTTAACAATGCAAAGGACTATCAACAGCAAGAATGCTATTACACCACAATGGTTATATCAGGGTTAACTATTTCTTGCATAAATAATTCTAAGCCAAAAAACAATCTTAATACACCAACCTTACCATCTTAACGATACCAATAGCAATGCTTTGGCAATCAATTCATAGCAACGCTACAAATTTATTACTTTTTGCATGACACCGCATTTCCAGTTACAAACAGTAAAGAAAGTAACTACTGTGCATTTCACATGATATCAATGCCAGAGCTACAACACTGCAGGAAACGATAGGTCGGCAATAAAGTATTGACAAAATAATCAACAGCACAGCAGCAACAGCAGAAGCACAGCATATTGTGCTTTAATATTAATAATCTGTCACAAAAGATAGTGATCGCTACGTTGCGCATGTCCAACAGTCCATCAAAGTTTTTCTCACGGCCAGCACCAACACAAAAAGTCCACAAACAAACCACCCATTAGTCCGTCACCCGACGCAGCCCCCGCGACGAGAATGGCCGGTTAGCGTCAGCTCTCGTGCGCTTCGAGGTACTCTTTAGGTCTGGCTGCCAGATGCTGCCATGTGTTGCTGTCGTCACAAAACCATTCCATGACGCCATCAAACAATGACGTAATGGGGCGCCTTTTTACCAACTTGGAAATGTTGCTTCTTAGCGTCGTTTTTTAATCTTGAAAGCTTACCAATAGCTACAAGTAAGCGTTCACCGTCGTATCTGATGACTATCTCAGTATTTTCAAATGGAGAACATTCCCCGTAACAACAGCAAACACACATAACAGGACTTGTTAGCAACGTTAACAAAGTCTGCCATTTCTTTGGCCATGCGCTGTTCAAGGCTAAGAAACCTATTATTGTCGAGTCGTATATATCCGGCGTTAGCGAGCACGATTTTCAAACATAACGACCCTCAATTCGCTCTCAGTCGATGCGGTGCAAGGTGCGATGATGTAATCAAACAATGGCGTTTTAAGGAGCATATTTACTACAAAGAAAAATTTCAAAAACAGCTTTTCCACTTAAAAGCATATCAGCAGTTATAAAAGAGATCATTCAGGTATATCGGATGCTTGCTTCAGTAACTGCATGTGTAGAACATTTCGTTTAATCGTGACACAGAGGAGTCTTGTCTTGTATCTGTCTCACCGTATCAGACTAAATAAAATCTGCTGCCTTAGGACCGCACTGTAAACGGTGGTCGTGCAGATCTGGAAGGGGCATGTGAACTTTGTGATTCTCAAACAGCGTATCATTGGCGTGCTTTATCGACATCGTAGTAAGTGGACACATTTACTCTGCTGTTAATTTCCTCACGACAGCAACAACAAAATATTTGAATCGGGCATCCAAACCACAAAGTAGCTGCGGGGTGAAAGTGCATGAAATATCACACTGCGAAGCTTTTGCCACTTGTCCAATGCTACATTATATGACCGATTGGTTTAGATGATGCTATGCACTGTGCTGAGAGGCAGCTACCACACCGCAATAATCTTTTTTTCCGCCGGCGTGGAGCGACGGACGTCCACTCATGTTGAAGAAACATAAGGACTTTTCATCACAATGGCCATTTACGAGAACCCCAGTTATTAATTTAAAGTGTCGTTATGGTTTCAAGACCGCGTCCCCAAACAAAAATATTGGTGGGCCCACCCGGCCCAGGGCAAGGGCAGCGAATAGCAGTGTGTGGTGCTTATAACAAATACAAAATGCCTGAGTATTTTGATATTGTCGGCACTTTGCGTGATGCGTCACGGGAGAGGGAGCCACTGGTGCGTGATTGTTGACTTCAGGGAAGCATGCGTTTAGAGACTTACGTGGGAGAGAGGACAGAGACACCATGGGCCAGTACACACATGTTTCGAGCCAAAGAGGCACCAGCTGTTTACCTGAGATAAATGACACTTCGCGGAACATATAAAGGGTCTTTGCAGCCATAGACACAAAATGGTACGCTATGAGATTCACGCGGGAAAAGTGGCATGCGGAGACTCGCGCATGACGGGAAATGACGCTGGCGAAACAAATTAACAATTTCACATTGAGACGGTGTAGCATGTCTTTCACCTGACCTTGGCTCTGATTCTTACCACTGACTTGATTTGTGGCAGGTAAATGTTAGTGCAGGTGGCCCATCATGCGTCTAATAGCCTATGCACAGTCTAGCATCTGTATAACGAGGATGGCTGTACGGCTGAGGTGTGGCAAATCGCTAAGGATATTGTGTGGTACGTTATGCACTGTTAGTGCGCTTTTTGTGGTGTTAATAGTTCATGTTGATGATTCGACGGCCGGTCGGAGTAATTTCCTTTTCGCCACCCGTGAAGTTCGGTTGGAATGGCAGCAGAAATGAGATTAGGCACTTGACAGTAGCATTGCTAAGATTATTAACAGAATGTACGATTGGAAGATGCACATACGCATAGTCGATGGTAGCTCCAAAGCAACATGAGAACACGATTGTCACCAGTCACCCATCGCACCCGAACCCATATCGTGCCAACACGCTGCAAAGCTTCCCTGCAAGTTATCCGAGCCTCGCCAGTGTGTCGTCAAAAATAGCAATATATATATATATATATATATATATATATATATATATATATATATATATATATATATATATATATATATATATATATATATTATATATCTATCTCTCTCTCTCTCTCCTCTCTCTCTCTCTCTCTCTCTCTCTCTCTCTCTCTCTCCTCTCTCTCTATCTCTCTCTCTCTCTCTCTCTCTCTCTCTCTCTCTCTCTCTCTCTCTCTCTCTCTCTCTCTCTCTCTCTCTCTCTCTCTCTCTCTCTCTCTCTCTCTCGTGTGCGTGCGTGCGTGCGTACGTGCACGCGTGCGTGCGTGCGTGCGTGTGTGCGTGCGTGCGCGCGCGCGGGTGTGCGTGTGTTTGTGTGCATATATACTATTTTTGCAAGCCTGAGGGGAATCTTACAATCAATGTACCCTTCATTATTCAATGAGGGACCGCAAACAAATCCAAATATACCAAGCCATGATTCACATAGTTGAATTATGCATATCACAATCAAGTGAAGAAAGCAGTTCGCCGATTGGGGCATACCCTAGCCTGCATGCCCAACTGCATGCGTACCTGCCATTACTACTTACCTATACGGAGGTACAGGGCAGCCATTGGCGTCATTGGCTGTTTAGAACCAATCGTTAGTCATTGAGTCATAGTTAGAAAGCGACCTCAACGGATTCTAGGCAATGTCCACGCATGGAGTGTCGTATGCGTGACGTTGCATTGCGAATAAATTGATGCCCATGAGGCACAGGCTTCCTCATGGTACGGAATACATGCTGGGACCGAATGTAAGACCGCCAGCCGACAGGCGCTAGTGGTGACTCGTACTAACCATGTTCCACTGCACCTATCACGAGATTATGAGTTGAACGCCGAGTGGACTGAGCTATCTATTGGCAAAAGAAAATATCTGGCCTTGATGTGCCATCTAGCGGTGGGAACAGAAAGCAGTATGCCACTGCAGGATCACCTAACGGCAGGAATCAAAACTACCCCTGGACGTCCTTAATCCCTCAATGTTATGACCATGGATGCAATCATTTTGGATGTTGCAAAACTTAGATGCTATGAACTCCGTCAATGGGCTTGGCGTTGGATAAATTTTGCATGTTCTGAATGCTGGATGTTGCCATTTGGGATTATATGAACGCTGGACGCTGCGATCTTGGACGTTTTGATGGCTCCCAGCGAATGGAGGCAAATGTGACTGAAGGGATCACAACAGAAATATGGCGTGGAACTTCTTGAAGTATCTACCCAACATTTAGTAAACGTTTTCGCCGTCCTCGGCTCAATACCCTCGCATTTTCCCAAAATATGTTTTCAACCAAATACGTTGTTCAATCGATATGATGTGCCTAATAAGTGAAGTCTACCTGAAACGTCGAGTATTCTCATAATATATCTCACTGGTCGTTTGATGTCTTCCTTTGTCCAATACCTCACCGTATATTGAATGCCCGTTGCTTGCGGCATCATAATGCACTCATGTCAAAAAGCAAGAGCTCAAGCCCTTCCTTCTTCATGTTGGATATTAGTAGTGCCGTTAGGTTTCAAGATCTTAAACATTTCACTTGGTTGTTTCATTTGGGCACCGTTATCACCCACATGAAACAAGAATGTTTCATTGGGGTGATAAAGTTGGCGCAGCCAAAAAAACAGGCCCTCAAAACCTTTATGACACCGAGTTGAATAAAATTTCACCAAGTTTCATTTCACTTTTCCTTTAACTTTCACGACGCAGATTTTGTGTCACGTTTCTTTACACCTGCACTGGGAATCTAACATGACATTGATCTACGCCAGCCCTCCGCCGACGATCCCGGCGATCTTTGACTGGCATGACTTATCCTATTTTTGTTAGAGGTGAGGTGACCGAAGTATGCTGGCGTCATATTTCTGCCGTAGCACGTATTTCATGTCCTGTTTGGGTGGGCACATCTTTTGGCCCCACACAACCACCCATGGGGAACGGTAAAACTGGCCAGAGCCAACCACTGACAGGGTCTAGAGGCTGACAGCAGCAGCGCCAGAAGTGGTCATTACGATCACAGCCCGCCAGCCTATGGGCTCGACGGAGCTCGCGGAGCAGCTGGACCAAAAAGGGTCAGCGTTGCAACCAGGGTCAGCCTCACAGATACCACTGCGGCGGCCAGTGCCGCCACTCGCTGAGCTCGTCAAAGAAACGCAACGTCATAGCATACGTATTTATAATTTAGTTCCGATACCATCATAACCCATTCGTGCCATGCCACTGCCGCTGCCAGCTTGCTTTGACGTCATGTGGCTCGTTTCCATATCTGTACTGGCTTAATGCACCACAAAACGCGCGGTCCAACAACAGTAAAAATTTAGTAGACATTGACGCAGTCTCACCATTTGCACGCGACCAACCAACGGCCAATGTAGCCTATTTCGAAGTGGCGGGCGCAAGTGCAATTAAAACAAAACTAGATAAAAGCCATAATTTATCTTCAATGACACCACACGACTATCAATCGCTTCGCTAGGAAACACGACAGACAGGCCAGTTGGCCGTTTCGCAGGCCGCCGGGTTCCGCCTCAGAAGAAGTGCATGCCGCCGGGTATGGTGGGCGCCGCCACCTGGCTGCCAAAGCGACGTCGGCCAGCGGGCAGCAGGCTGCCGAGCCGCGTCCGCGGCAGCGCCAGCGGCGGGTTGAAGCCCAGGCTCGGCAACCGATCGTATTCGCCGCCGATGATGCCGGCGATGGGCGGCGCCAGCGGCGGCGGGTCGAACCACGGCTGGCTGGGGAGCGCCAGCGGCACGCCCACCGGCTCCGCCTCCCGCTCGGCCGCCCGGTGACGGAACAGCTGTGCGTACAGCTGTTTCCAGTCGGCGCACGGCTCGACGCTCCTCAGCGAAGCGCTAGCCGCCGGAAAGTCGCGGAACACCAGGTCCTTCCAGAGCAGGGGGTCGTCCGCGCGGCAGCGCATTTCACGGCTCGTGGACCGCATGCGCAGCACGTCGCGTACAGGCAGCCGCCGCAGGATGTCCAATTGCAGCTCGAGCGGAAGCGCGCGCCACTCGTGCTGGGACACCAGTCCGACCGAGCGCTGGAAGTGCACCAGCAGTGGCACCGTCACGTTGTTCTTAAACACGTTGGAGAGCTGTCGCAGGTTCTGGAACCGGTCGGCCGTGTCGACCGACTCCGTGGTGGCGATGTAGTCACGCGGCCGCAGGCTCACCGTTAGTATGGGCGCGCCGCCGGCCGGCACAGCGTGCACCACCGTCACGTTGCCCATGGGGACGACGGTCAGCGAGGCGCTCAGCGACATATTGAAGTGCAGGCCGTACGTGAGCTGGTACAGGCCGGGCCGCTTCCAGCTGGCGGGCAGCTGCCACTGGTGCGGGGCCGCGCCGCCCGGGAAGTAGCCCACCGTCCGCGTGTCCGGCTCCGGCTCCGGCTCCTGTTCCGGCTCCGGCTCCGGTTCGGGTTCCGGTCGCGGCGGCTGGGGTGCGGCCGGCGCCGGCGCCACGCTCGGCCTGAAGCCGCCCGCCGCGTCCGCCGCCGGGCCCAGCCGGGTCGGCTGCAGGCCGGCCTCCACCATGAGCGCGTGCAGCGCCAGCGCCAACAGATGGTCCGGCCCGTCGGGCGGCGCCTGCTCGGTCAGCCAGGACAGCAGGCGCGGCACGCGGCCCGGCCGCGAGTCGCGCAGCAGCAGCGGCTCGTCGCTCTGGCCCAGGCACGGCTCGGCGGCCGCCGCCGCGGCGGGCTCCTCCGCCGCCGTCGGCGCCGCCGCTGGCTCCACGCGCAGCGACTGCGGCTGCTGCACCACCTCCGGCACGCGCTGAGTCAGCGGCGGGTCAAACTGGACGCCGATCACGTGCAGCAGGTCGCCACCCACGATGCCCAGTTCGGAAAGCGAGCTCTCGCGCACACTAGCCGAGAGCGGGTCACGGCCGTTGAGACTGAGAGAGGACTGCACGATGCGCAGTCCGATCCGCTGGAACACCTCTGACGTGATTTTCTCCTTCAAAACCTGCACTGTTGTCTCATGGTCCTCCAGAACGATGTTTATTGTCATGCTCAGAGCCTTTATTTTAGCTCGCAGCTTCATATTTCCAACCTAGCGGAGTCTATCTGCAAGAATCCGATGGACTGCGGTCAATAACTGTGCTCTTCAGGAGAAACTTAGCAGCAAAGGCTGTACAGTAGCAAAAATTGATGCTACAAATGCGCTGAATAGAGCTGTTCAATAACAAGAATGGACGCAAGCCTTCACGTTGGGCCGAGCCTGAGTAAAGGTAAACAGGAATCGAACACAATTGAAATTTAATAGGTATGTGGAGGGAAATAAAGGACGGAGAGATGGTTGCGGGCATGCTTTTGCTTGAAAAATTATTCTGAGTGTTTTGCAAGGGTGGTTTTGCGCCCTCAGTAACTGTTTTCCACAGCGAGCCGGGTGTAGCTCGAGTTCACTGCCCAAGTTGTGCCCTTCCCGTTGGAACAAATGTTGCCTCCGACCTTTTGCTAAAAAAGGACGAAGGCGGTCCACGAGCAAAGTTGGCCGATCTGCAAACAGCTTGATCGAGACTTCAACTTATCGATAAAACGTTTTGCCACTCGATATACCTTCGAGCACGAACAAAATCAGTTGTTTTTGCACCTAGTTTTTCAACGTGGAACGGAGTAAATGGCCGTGTACAGAAACCCCGAACGTTAGGTGAAACCATTACACATTCCCCAGAAAGTTTTTACATACTAAAACGCAACATGTTACACAGCCCGGCCGTTCTCTGACAGCTGTTTTAAATATGTTCTTTACCTCCCATGTGTATTTTAGTTGGACACAGTATTGTACGTGAAGGCGGGAGAACGAAGACATGTTTTCGCAAAACTTATGCTACTTTAAAAAGATTTCTCAGTGCCTCATGGATGTGGCAACCCATATTCACCATGATGACGCATCGAACGGCGTCTTGACGAGAACACTTCGACACAGCACCAGCTCAGATCTCACACCAGGATCTACTCCTCTCAAAGATAACGTGCCGCGCTTTCGTCACGCCAGCATGGCGAGAGCTGGCGGACATGGTGTTGGCGGGTAATGGGGCGTCGGCGGATAATGGGGCATCGGCGGGCATGGGGCGTCGTACTCCCATTGCGTTCTGCCGGGCTGGAACCCATTGTCGGTCAGCAGAATGCGTGTCAGTCTTTGCTTGGTGCAAGGGGTCAGCACCGAGAGACAATCCCGATAGCGCCGAAGACTCGGAAGCAGGCAGGTGACAACTGAACGGGATGCACTGGTGATGGAGACTGAAGGTAAAGATAACAGGGGATGCTGTGAATGAGCAGCGTTGACTGCTTATCGTCGAGGATCGTTAACAATGTAGTCATTAGGAACTCAGCTGCATCATCTGTGGTGACACCACGCTGCTACATCCCGAAAAATGTTGCAGATCAAGATCACGAGTTACCACAACCAGAAAAGTCATGTTGTGGCCGCGCTGAGCCGGAGGAAACAGATGACCTTCAAAATGATTGGAGTTTGGCTGTTAAGTGTGCCTGGTGTACAGAATGAAGCTTGTTTCAGCTATTCAAAACTGCCTGCAAGGCACCCTTTTAATCTTTACAAGAATTGATCCACTCATTTAAAACTTTAAAAAAGTTCCCAAGTTGTTGAAAACTTAGTTTTGTGAAATGAATGAATATCTGTCATCCTATGTTGAATCATTTAGCCTGAGCTGGAGTTCATTCTTCCCATTTGATCTATTTTGCTGATCATCCAAGCAGCACTCCATGCCATACTGTTGTCATGCAAAAGCTTCTGGTTTTCTTCCAACATGAATCTTGTTGTTGATAAAAAAGCTCATGCCATCTATATACATGTTTCTTAAAACTGTTTTCATGATTGGTTAAATATGACTGCAAAAGCATGTGGTAGGAGAAAATTTACAAGCATGAGTGTGGTCTGGAGGGGGAGCTGTGTCAAGAGCAGTTGGTATTTTGTAATACTGGTAAAAACTGGTGAATGGCAGATGGCATGGGCAAGAAAAAGGCAGCATTTGTTAATATTACCATGGGTCAGGGCCCACAGTAAAATGCCTAATGAGGTATCACAGGCATTATAGGAAGCTGAAATGTTATTTTTCCTACTTTTTGAATTTGGCAGTCTGATATGAGCATGCACATAGACAAAAGTGTTTCCCTTTTTCACCTGCTGTAAATTATCTCTATTGTAGTGTTCAGCATAATTTTTCAAACATGGCCAGCTATACATGCTCCTGTGCATGACCACCAACACAAAAAACTTGACCTTTTAGCCGTCAAACAACGAGCCGGCACACGCATCCAACACCCCCTCCTACCACACTCACATACAGCGTATCATCGGCACACTATTACCACCACAAAAACATCGCTACCTGCGCCACCTGGCACCTACCGCGCCATGCACACAGCAACAGATTAAATAGTCAGCTGTTAGAGGCATTCAGGCATTTTGACGTCATCACATGGCCATATTATCAGCGAGTTCATAGTCTTATAACATCAAATTTGCACAATAAATATTTTAAAAGAACCAAGAACAAATAAAATTTCTACTTTTACACAAATTTACGCAGAGCCTAATATTTTGGTGACAAGCTAATAAGTAAACTAACTGCTAATGCCTGATAAAAGTTGACTGCGGTTTTGCTCGCATTTTGGATAGCGGCTACGCTGTGTACATATGAATAATAGGCTATGAGGTTCACGGGCAGCGGTACTTGCCTTGGTACTCGCCAGTGTTTACCACGATTGTCTTAGGGTACAGTTAGAGACTGGGGTATATACCAGAAAGGATTGTGGTATTTACGCTGGGCGGTATGGTATCGCATTAACCACAGTCCCTTGCGGTCGGAGGAGCCGTTGTGGTCGGGTAGGTGCCAATGTAATACAGAAGTCAAACAAATGCATTGCATGCCTATCTACACAAGTTAGAACGCGTCATTCAAGGCATCAAACACCGAAGAATGGAGAACTGGAGGTGTTAGTTCTGCAGTATTTGGCCATTGTTTGCGTTAGTACCCGAAGATACAATAGTAAATTGTTCATTAACCAATGTTTTTAAGACTTCAGATGCCTTTCATAATGATAAAGCAGGAATATATTAGAGACATCTCATCATGTTACCTTTGAAATATAATAACCATGATAGTGCTGGAAGACGCTGGTCAAATATCAGACTTAATTTTAAAATACAACGGTTATGATAACAATAGCGGGGGCTGGTCAAATGCTGTTCTTTCACATTGATGACACAATGCTGATGCATCAAGGCCGTGTCCGCGGATCAACTAGCAATGGTTTTTTCACAGTGTAGTTTTTGTGTACTGTTGGTCAATTGGCATGAGGTTAAGCTGCTTATGGTCTGCACACAAAAGCCATGTCTCAGAGCAATTAGAGCAGGTATCTTGTCAACCTCTTCTTTTTAACTGTTAAAAATATATAATGCAGTAACTTCACTGTGACTGACTCACCAAGAGTAGTGCTTGATGTAATGCTTGATGCTAGAAGTATTGCTTGATGAGCCAATACTTGTAAATTGTACTTGTAAATTGTTGCATGGCTAGGCTACCATTTGCTAGGCTCCTTTTAACTTGCCTCCATGTTTCAGCACATTCCCTTCACATCTGGCTGTCAGCATGTGCCAGCAACATAACAGCAACAGCCATATCATAACCTAACATCAATAGCATACCATAACAGTCTTTGTGTTTTCCATTATCTAGCAGTGAGTCAGGAACCTTTGGTGATTTGGCGTGACCTGAGCAGCAATGGCGGCGGAGAAGGGAGTGCCAACAGTGCAGCTCTCGCGGCAGGACTGCAGGCAGGGTGCTGTGCGGGCAGCGCGGCTCAGCTTCGACGGCTGCTTCAGCATCACTGGCGGCTCTGACAAGACACTTAAGCTGTGGAACCCGTTCCGTGGCGCGCACCTCAAGACGTATGTGGGCCATGGCCACGAGGTGCTCGACTGCCAGGGATCGTGCGACAACGGCCGGCTGTTGTCATGCGGCGCCGACCGCACCGTCATCGTGTGGGAGGTTAGCTCGGGCCGCGTGCTCAACAAGTGGCGCGCGCACGCCGCCGCCGTCACCTGCTGCGGCTTCAACGAGGACTCGTCGCTGGCGCTGTCGGGCTCGGTAGATGGCGCGGTGAAGGCGTGGGACTGCCGCAGCCGGCGCCTGGAGCCGGTCCAGACGCTAGACGATGCCACCGATAGCGTCACCGCGCTCCAGGTCACCGACTCGGAGCTACTGACCGGTTCGGCCGACGGCCGCGTGCGGCGCTACGACCTCCGCAATGGCCAGCTGGTCACCGACGCTGTCGGCGAGGCCGTCTCCTGCCTGACGCTCAGCCGCGACGGCCAGTGCCTACTGGTTGGCTGCATGGACGCCACGGTCAAGCTGCTCGACCGCGAGTCCGGCGAGCTGCTGAACGAGTTCTCCGGCCACAAGAACGCCCAGTACCCGCTGGCCAGCTGTCTGGACGCGGCAGACGCGCACGTGCTCTCCGGCTCCGAGGACGGCCACGTGCACTGCTGGGATCTCGTCTCTGGAAAGGTGATAGCGAAGCTGGTCCACGCGGGCGCCGACGTTGTCCACTCGCTCGCGTTCCATCCGAGCCGTGCGGTTCTGCTGACGGCTGCTGGTGGCGCCACCTTCCTCTGGGGCACTGGCATCGAAGAGGAGCAGATGGAGGCGTGAAGAATGGACGCAGTGTGCGAGGCGGCGCCATGGTCAGGTCTTTCATTTGTTCATCCTTTTGTGTATCAGTACGACTGCCAGCTGGGTTCAACTAGTAATGCTGATAAGGCTATTCGTCCCCTTTCACGTGTGTTTGTACGTGACGACATGCATGTGTCAACGTGCTTGCCAGCGTTTAGGTTTCCGATAGAGTGAGCCATGATAATGGCATTGTTGCGCTGCGCGCTTTAATCTCGGTGAAGGGCTTAGACCTGACAAAGCGTGTAATTTTGTGTTCGAAAAACATGGAGTCTGAATGTTTTTCCCACTAGCAGGTGCGATTTTTTGAACATCAAGCCATGTGAGTGGACATTTTTCCATGTCGTTGGTTTTGTGGCTCAAGTTGCGATCGAATGACACCGAATTTCATGATCACAATGTATGATGTACACACACGATGATCCGAATTACAATGCATGTGAGCGTCAGCATGACTGAGAGCTTGCGCCGGTTTTGCTGATTACGGTCATGGAAGGAAGTAATAATATGGTGTCATTAGCGCTGTTGTTTAGACCATATTCGGAGCTTATTTGTCTCCTTGCCGTTGTGCGATAAGCTAGGTGCCGAAATGGCAATGATTTCAACTACATCGTAGTAGGTCATGTTTGGAATTAAGCCTGGTCGCCTTTGTCTCAGGGTAGCTCATAGGTCAATGACTTTAACTAACCATAGTGTGATATTAATGACTAATGTTTTCAAACCTGAAATATAATGAACGTGATGTATACGCATTATTGGAAGGTCCTGTACGGTAGCGCGTGTCAAGTGCTAGAGTCGCGTAAACGCGTGACGGCATATGAGGTTCACGTAGGTCAGATCTGTATTACGCTATGCATCCAACATGGTGTTGAGTTTCGAAGGAATACTATGCTAGTTGGTCCCCCTTGGTTTGGATACAGGTCCAAGGCGCAAGGCGGCGCACGTTTTAGTATTTCAGGTTAGATAGTGATCATGGCCTCGTTAACCAAGCGCAGGGTGTCGACCGACACTCGTTGCTCGGCACGTGACGCGTGCTGCTCGGCATGGTTAGTTTATGTGACACGTGACGCCACTTTGGTGTGATGTCGAGGCATTACTGTCTTAGAAAAAACGCCATGCTTGGTGAAACGGCGGGCAGAGTGATCTCTTACCAACACCCGAGAATTCAATTTTTATCAAGAAAACCTTGTGAGTGATGGTTAGCACGTGAACACGCGCCCGGATGGCGGGCTAGACACCCCTCGCTCGGGTGGGGTGGGGATCAATTTGACCCCTTCCCCCTAAGATCTCGGAGACTAAGAAAGCTGGAAGCACCAAATTTGCGGGGTGTGTTGACCTGTACGTGAACTCACTTAGGTCAATGTGTGAGGTCACCAGGCCGTGACCTTCGGGTCAAATAAGGTCAAACAACGTCAAATTCCAGGCTGGTCTTTAAAGTGCACCCGGAGCCTAGATGACTGTTTCTAAGCAAAAGGTCGCAAGCGCATTCAAGGTCAGTGACCTTGCTTGGCCTTTTGAAGGTCATGGTGACCAGAATCATGCAAGACTGCCCCGGTAAAGATTACGCTACGCAGTATGTTCCTAAAAAAAATGGTGACCTGGGTCATCTTAGGTCAGTGACCTATTCTGACCTCTAAGAAATCAATGGAAGATATATGATGCGGTTCATGCTATCAATGAATTCAAAATGAGTACCAGAAGCTACCCCATACAGCAAGCCCTAGAGCAATAAGACAGGTTGGTTTTGACCTTGTTCTGACCTTCATACCTAACCTTAGGTCAGCATTATTTGCTCCCTCAATGTTTTTCTTGCCTAATGAAGCATCTCAAAGACGTAAAGCTTCGTCAAACCCTCCGTTGTTGCATTAGATTGAACGATTCTCTAGAAATTGACTTCGCTGAAACCATGGCCTGACGTTGACCTGCCATTGGTTAGTGACCTTACAAGGTACACCTAAATTTCTTACACCAAACGATCCGTTATTCAACTGTCAACAGCTATGCAAAATTTGGCGCGGCTACTCGGCGCCGTTCAAATTCATTTTGGCAAACTTTCGGGGGGTCAACTTGACCCCCACCCGAGCGCGTGTTAATGAGAAGAGCTGTTCGAAAGACCCCATACCTGGTGCGCCCCTACACCAACCCTGCTGGGTGGCTTTCTCTGTACGGTAGCAACCGTGTAGGGAAAGTGGGCGACGAACCGGGTCTTGGCCTAGGGACCCTCGGTCTACCACGAACCACATGCGTTTTCACCACGTCGGTTCAGTGTTCTCTCTCACGCTCCTGCAGACTGCGCGTACCTGACATGTGTATCGGTCACGCGGCTCACGAAATGCGCTCTATACGCCGGAGGCATGCATGCGATGATTCACGGCGTCGTGGATAGCACACCCCGCAGAATGGGCGCCCGGAGCTGCGGATCGGCGGCCTTTAACCATGTGGGCCCGATGTGGAGTGAGGGCTGACGCGGCGACGGCTTGTAAGTTTTTCGATCTTTTCTGACCTCTGTTAAACTGCATGCATGATTAAGGTCAGCTAAAGAATGTTGCCGGGTGTTTAGGGGTTAATAATTCGTCCATTTGCTTTGGCCCGGTGTGCGGCCTTCGCGTTTATCAGTAGACCTGGAATGCTGTTCGAACGTCCGTTCCGCTGTCCTCCATGTGACGCTGAAAAACGTTCTCGCATCCACCATGATAGTTAACATTACTACCCCAACCATGGGTAAAACTTCCTTTCTGAGTGGGCCATACTCCCTCCCCATTCCGTGTTGAGCCGTCCCGGACAACACGCCAACCCTATTGCCAAATGAATTGGGGGCGTGGATCGGGAATAATCCTTGCACCCCTCTCCGTTGCTGAGGTGGGTTTCGTGCCTCCAGAATTTCTAGGAAGTTCCACCGCTGCTCCAATTTTACTGAGCATAACAGGGAATAGGTTTTGAAAAGTATCGTTAGTACCAGTGAAGGAAGAGCTGCCGAAGTTAACACTGTGAGATGTTCCAATGAAGATCAGAGCGTTTTAACAATCTGTGCCGTCAAAGTACTGCCCATCGCGACCATCGTGAGCAAAAACGGCCTGAGTTTTAATGTCTTTCCCCCTACTCTACCAAACCCTTAGCTAGCAGACTACAAGCGGCTGGCCACGCCACCTTGCAGCACCTGCTTGCAACGTAAACGGGCCTCATGTACCTTTAAAGCCTGACAACTGCCATGTGTGTTGATAACAAGGCTGTGCTTCGAAATAGAGGTGCTCGCATCAATCGAACGGAACAAAAGCATTCTCGGACGCTGAAGATGCGTGCATTTGTGCAGTCAGTAATGCCTAACATTGCTCCTCAAGTGTCATGCCGAAGTCGTTGGAGTCGAAGTTGCGGAGCCGAACTTACCCGAAGTTCCACCGGCAATAAGCCGGCGGCCGTACTTCCAAGAGACGCATGCGGCTGAAGATGAGATCAATAAAACACCACATGGCAACTGGTACCTTGAGTCTATTTGCAGGAGCCACTGCCAAAGAGCTTCATAAAGTTACGGGGACTGCTCTGATCACGGAGGGCGTTCTGCAGTCTATGGGGAACTGAAAATTCTAGAAATGTTCGTCTATGGCACAATGACATCACACTTTTCCGCAAGCAAAATGTTATTCAACTACAATTACAAATACAACCCTCACAGCACCGTACGTACGTACAACCACGTCCAAGTCGCCGTAGATTCTGACATAACACACATGAAACAGGCAAACGAAATGCAGTAAAATATGGTTAATGAACCTCGGACATGCGTAAGTAAAGCAAAACAAGACGTCATTCCATTGGCAAGGCCGGCACGTCATCGACTGGTGTCACCGGTTGGAGCCCGAGCCGGCATTAAGTGGCATAGCGCCCAGTGGCCATGACTGCTAATCACGACAAGCGTTTGTGAAAATCACGATCAGGGGTCGTCGCTCCTGCTGCAAACAACTGTGGCAGCACAAACATAACGGCAGGTTCAGTTATGCATACCCTTGCAAAGACGCCCAGTCTAACAACCACGCATCAGTACCACGCGCCTAGAGCTCATTGGTCACCATCGGCCACTTGACTTATGAGCGAGGTCGCGGGTCGCAGGAGCATTAACACGCGCCCGGGATGCCGGTTGGATACTCGTTGCTCAGGTGAGGCGGTCAATTTGACCCTGCCTCCGCCTGAGATCTCAGGAACTAACAGTCCTAGAGACACCAAATTTACAGGGTGTTTTGGCTTGTACCTGAGCTCACTTAGATCAAAGTTTGAGGTTCCTAGGTCACCACCTTTGGGTCAAATAAGGTCAAACAAGGTGAATCTCTAGGTTGGTCTCCGAATAGCCCCCAGAACCTGAATATCTGTTCTAGGCAAAAGGTCACACGATCAATTAAGGCCAATGACCTTCTTTGATCTTTTGAAGGTCGTGGTGACCAGAATCATAAAAGACTGCGTTGAGTTTTGCATCTGAATAAGCACAAAGATTACCCTAGGCGGTATGTTCCTAAGAACAAAATGTGGACCTGGGTTGTTTTAGGTCAGTAGCCTTTTGAGAAGTACATGAATGATGTATACTTTGGCTCCTGTTGTTAATAAATTCAAAATGAGCACTAGAAACTACCCATATAACAAGCCCTAGAGTAAAAGCAGATTGGCTTTGACCTTGATCTGACTTTCAAAACTGACCTTAGGTCAATGGAATTTGTTCACTCAATTGTTGCGTTGCCTAAGAAAAACCATACGATCAGCCGTTCAACTGTCCACAGCTATGCAAAATTTGGCGCGGCTGCGCCCCACCGTTCGGAAACCATTTTGGAAAAACTTTGGGTTTTTTAGGGGGTCAATTTGACTCCCACCCCAACCCCACCCGGGCACGTGTTAACGTACCATATACATTTTTTAGAATATCTCGGCCCGTGCGCTGTGCTCGTAATGTAATCAGCCAGTGAGCACGGCTTCATAGTTTTCAGCAACGGGTGATACTGCATGCCAAGAATGCGTGTTGCACCTCCTGGGCGCAGGTAGTGACATCGCGACGCGAGTTCGCTACACCAGCGCCCACACACTTCACGGCACCAGCGTCGCGGCCAGCAGCAATAGTGCGGCGTCTGGCCGCGGGGCGTCGTTCGCTACAGCTCATACGCTTAACGACACTAGCGTCGCGGCCAGCAGCAATAGTGCGGCGTCTTGCCGCGGGGCGTTGTTGGTGACGACTCTCTCAGCTTTCTGGCGCGCCATGCAGAGGGGCTTACGGGGCCCGATGCATGCTGCGAACGAGATGGCGTGCGCCACATACGACTGCTCGAACGTGCCGGAGAACAGGTGACTCCACGGGCCAACGGCGTAGACGGGCACGTCCTCGCCGCCGTGCGTTTCGTACTTGAGCGGCACGGCCGCCTCCTGGCGGTAGTCGGCCCCACTGCGGCGGACGGCGGGCCTCAGGGCGATAGCATGCAACGGACACGACCAGGCAACAGCGCTGGCCTTGGCGTGGTCGCCGCTTTACTCGCCATGGGCTCTGAATGTTATGTACGGATAAATTTAAGTGGAGAATTGGACGACCAAGATCACTGCTTTGCTTTCCCCCAGCATCAGCGGGTGTGAGGCCCGGGGAAGTTGTCGGAGATCAGTTGAGAGCCAAATGAAACCCGGGGAGGAGGGGGGCGGCTAGCGATTTGCGCCGCTGAGCTATTCAAGCAACGTGATTATCGCTATCGTTAGAGGGCATGTGCACGAGCCCATGAACAAAGATTCTTGGGTCCGCTCCGGTTTCGCCATGCTTTCACAACCTCACCATGCTTTCTTTCCATCAATATTTAGAACCAAATACTAACAGGAGCATGAACGAGTCTGAGTTCTGGCCAAGTAGCCCGTTGACATGAACTAAATCTATCTGAATGTCCTGTCTCCCCAGATTCAGTTCGAAAGGTAACTGCGATACTGGGTTGTTGGTTATTTGGGCATTCCGTCGCAGTGACAATATGTCGCATAATTTTGTATTCATTGGCTGAAATCTTAGTCTTACTATAACTTATTGAGAAAATATTGAACTCAAAAGTTTAATTTAACACCGACGGTTTTGCCTACCATGAGATAATTTATTTGGTAGATGCAGATGACAAAGCCAAAATGCCGAGAACCCCAGCGCGTAAAATTGACTTCTATACGCCTACAGTCTGTTGTTTTTGTCGATCTTGAATGCCCAAGTATGCCATTTGGCTCCTACTTTGTCCGTTATGCGCGGAAAGAGGACATTGAGATTCAAGAGCTTTCGCGTATTGTGTGTGCTACGGTTAATTGGGAATGCAAATAATGTAAGCACATATTTTAGGGTGCGGGTTGTTTCTTATCCGAGACAAAACAAAAAAATAACAAGTCACTAACCCTTATTCAAAAATGATCAGTCTATGCCCGAATGACACGTTTAACGGAACATCGTGCATTATTTTGGTTAGAAGTAGAACTACATCCCGTGCAATTTGGATCCCAAGTCATGTTTAAATGCAGATGGGTGATTGCTGACTTATGAAGCGGGCTGTGTGCTGTGGATGGAAGTAACTATAAGTCTATGCTTCCACTTCTGCACACGAATGGTTTTCTGTCACAGCAAACGAACACAACGAGTAACTAAGCACAAGAGGAGTACGTACCTGGTGTTTCTGACACTGGATCGGTTCCTTTCCCCGACGTACCCCGGACCGTTGCCGTAAAGAAGTGTCGTGTATGGTATTCCATTTACATCGGGGCTCGAGTCCGTGCCTGCGAATATTGGGGTATGGTCACTGATCCCCCAGGCGCGCCAAGCCACACACACACTGCATTGACGGCAGCCCAGGCGCATAAGGCCGTCGCGCGGGGGCGAAGTTTCGCAAAATGATCTGGTCTGACACTGATCTGGAGGTGGGGGGGGGGGGGACAATGAAACGAGATGCAACCGGACCTAAATATACGCCAACCACCCACGTTCTTCTCAACGTTGGGGAGGGGTTGGAGCTCAAGTTGGGGGCGGCCTGAACCCCCTCCCCCAACGCGACGGGATAATACACCCTCTAGCGTCACATCTTGCACTCAGCCGGGCCGCGTGTTATGTGTATATATATATATATATATATATATATATATATATATATATATATATATATATATATATATGTACATATATATAACCGCAGTGTCGCAGTTTTTCATGACCTTTGCATGCATCTGTTCGATAAAGTGATGCTAAGATGGACTAGGTAGTGATACTAAGATGGACTAGGTAGAAATTTTAACTTTCGCAAATGGGGCCATCACGGGTTAACGCCGTGCGCGGATCTGAACAACTCTGACTCGTAAAACGACGCGGGATCAGATATCTTTGACCGCAAGTCCTAGGGTAAGTGCAGTTGCGCTAACACAAATGTGAGTCCCTGCGTGTAGCATGTCACGCTCACTTGAGTGCAAACCATTTACAATGATTGTCGTCAAATCATGTCAATCAATCGGGGCACGTACCGACTCGAGGACAGTGCAACCGTTGGCAAAAGTACCTTCGACATTTATCTGGCTGGCTCAATAGAACGCGACCGGTGGATTAGATCGATTGAATATAATCTGATGAGGAGGTGGGAAATACATGAAAGCTTTTTAAAGCTCCGTTCTCCAATTCATCTTACGCATATCCAGCGCTGGTGTGCATCTGAATGTGCAGACTGGAGACTTGTGCACACCAAAGGGGTGACTGATAGGTTTAAAAACATTCACTTGGTGACGAATCATTTGCTCGCAAGTCCATCAAAACAGCACTCAACAATTTTTCATTTCGTCAGATTATAAAGCTATGCTCGTGGTGGGCCATTATCGCCAGCGGATATTATTTGATCCTTTTGCGGCTTCTTTGTTGGGAGCACCACGGCCCGGCGGATCCCACCAGGACGGTCGTGACTCAAATGCGTAACTTAATGCATACAAAGTAATCTTCTATGAAATCCTGTATGCTAAGTCCCTTCTCACGATATCCTTCCCAAGGATTTTTTTAGTACCTGTATCGTTTGTTGTTAACCTCAGTCCCAACAAATGATTTGATGGATTTTTGGAATAGAAGCTGACGCTAAGAAGCGCTTCTTAAGCAAGCCCTGCCCGCACCACCCGATCATGACTACCATCGTGATGGTAATCATGATCGAAATCGTGATAATAATCGTAATTGTCGAATGCCAGATCAGCATTCCAAGCATACGTGTATGGTGTTGTGTACACCATATTCGCACGGACGACGAAAATGTGTATGACGTAGTTAGCAAAATGAATGAACCGTACCAGAACATTAAATATGGAATGCGTATGATAGAAAGAAAAACAAAAAGATTAGTGTAAGATATCGAAATTAACACACTGGATCAAATAAAGATAAGGGATAAGCAGGATGAACTATTGTTCAATGCTACTGCCCACATCCACGCTCCACCGAGAAAAGAAAATTCAACTAAAGCGCTTGGTCGCGCTCACATCCTTCACAGCAACTCTTCAATGCACAGTGAGCGTTTTCGGCCGCATGTCGTTGCGTGCGACGACATGCACCAGCGCGTAATGAGCTGGCCCGCATGCAGGCGCTGTCCGATCGAGTCTGCGCCGGCCGGCGTCGCACTCACCGAACACGGGGTTGCCGCGCGGCGGGGCGCCGCCCAGGGTGAACACGTGCGAGTGGTCAGCGGTGACGAGCGTCAGCGTGTCGGCGGCCGGCGCCAGCTGCGTGGCCGCCAGCACAGCGTCCTCCAGAGCCAGCACCTCGTCCAGCGCGCGACGCCCGTTGTTGGCGTGGTGCGCGTGGTCCATTCTCCCCGCTTGCCGAGAGCGCCACACGCACGTCATCAGCGGGTACGGATCGCCGCCGCCCGCCGGCAGGCAACTCACCGAGGATGGGTGTGCCTCGTGCCGACCGGTTGCCTCCGATGGTGAACACGTGAGAATGATCGCTGGTCACCACCACCATGGTGTCCGCCAGCTTAACTTTGTTCAGCACGGCGAACACGGCGTCGTCTAGTGCTGCCACCTCGGAGACAGCGTGCAAAGCCGAGTTTACATGGTGGCCGTGGTCGATTCGGCCAGCTGATCAGGATGGAACAGACATGCAGTTAAAGGCGGAGTGACGTGCACGAAACGACGGAAAAGGCACATCAAGAGCAGGCACATAGGCGGAAAAACAGAAGCAAAATAGACGCTTACAAGCGTTCATGCTACAAAAACACTTCACAGGGTCGGAGAAAGCAAGGGCGGATCTAAAACGCCGCCTAGGGGGAAGGAAACACTGGAACTAAAATAGCAAAAATAAAAAGTCGTAACTTTTGTATTTTTGCTTTTACCTACCTCCACCCACACCGGCACCGATCATGGTGCTCGGGTGGGTGGAAAAAGGGGCATCCCCCACCCTTGGATCCGCGCTTGGGAGAAAGAGAAGACCGAGACAAATCACGGCTGTGATTTTGCTTTCTCAGCTGCGTGTTGTTTTGTAATGAGCTTGGGTGGTATGGCTGCTTCATACAGTAAATTGTTCCCGAAACAAGAGCGCTTCAAACTACAGATTTCGCGGAATCGACTACTTGTTAAAGTTGGAACTGTTGGCAAGGTGTTCAGCCATGGATAGATATTTCATTCCCTCCTCCAGCTTGGCATGGAAATCACACCCCTGGTGTCGGTCCGCAGCAGTGGAAGCATCAGCGCCTGTTTGATCATGAGAATAATATGCAGACTAATTTTATCTTGGTCTAGAATACGAGCAGTCGTATTTCAGAGGCCGACCGTGCGACCATGAAAAACGTAGGTATTTCATGAAAAACGTAGGTATTTCATGTAAAAACGTAGGTATTTCATATTACAAACCACATCACGTCGAGCATGCATGCAGCGCAGGGAGACTCAGCAGTTCTCGCTAACATCTTGCCTCGCAAGCTGACATGGCTTACCTTCAACAATAAGGAGAAACCCTCGCTCATTACGAGAGAGCATCTGGATGGCCTTGACGGTCATCTCGGCCAGCGATGGCTCGCCACCGGGTCCTGGATCCCTGGTCAATTCAAATGCCATGTGGCTGGCCTCGAACAGACCTGCGGGCAGGGCACAGTGTTGGTCCGCTGCTGCAACTGGCCGTCGGGGAGCGGTGAGTAGTAGGCCGCCCTAGCACTGCACTGGCCGGCGAGGAGCGGTGAATAGTAGGCCGCCCTAGCACTGAATTGGTCGGCGAGGAGCGGTGTGTAGTACGCCGCCCTAGCACTGAACTGGCCGGCGAGGAGCGGTGGGTAGTAGGCCGCCCTAGCACTGAAAGGGGCACCGCCACACGGCAGGGGAAACGGCAGAGCAGCGAATTGGTCGAGGCTGGGACCAGCCGTCCAAACATCACCAGCTGGTTGCAGGAAATGGGTGACTGGAAGCGGGACTCAACCTGGTGACGCGCTGGACGCAATCGTCGGAAATACCCGGCATGTAGGGCAAGCTGGATGTCAAAGTGGGTGCGATGACGCAAGCGTCTGTGACTATGGACTCCAATAACAGCAAGAGGAAATGACCGCAATTCAAGGATTCATTTGACGTCAACCTCTAGATTGGATGTCATAGCCTTGACCTCCAAAAACCTTTGCAAAAGCAAGAGGCATGGGTTTGGACCGATCAAACGTACTTCCCGTGTTCATCCCTTTGCATTTAATGTTAATTTATAGTAGATGGAAAAAGATCTACAGTTCTCTCTCCTCTCTCTCTCTCTCTCTCTCTCTCTCTCTCTCTCTCTCTCTCTCTCTCTCTCTCTCTCTCTCTCTCTCTCTCTCTCTCTCTCTCTCTCTCTCTCTCTCTCTCTCTCTCTCTCTCTCTCTCTCTCTCTCTCTCTCTCTCTCTCTCTCTCTCTCTCTCTCTCTCTCTCTCCTCTCTCTCTCTCTCTCTCTCTCTCTCTCTCTCTCTCTCTCTCTCTTCTCTCTCTCTCTCTCTCTCTCTCTCTCTCTCTCTCTCTCTCTCTCTCGCAACCTCTGCGTCCGATCCAAAGTTCCGGAGGGGAAGTATAATATCCAATATCCGGCGGGTGGATAACATAGCCATTCTGGCATATTGACAAGTAACAAAAGCTATGGTAGTTTCGGTTCACCGTTGCTCCCATTGTAAGGTTATGTGCGGCGTGAACGTCTTTCACGATCGGAGAAATCTAGCAGTACATACATATTACCGGACATTATGTAGCATACGATGTTAACAAGTGAGATACTCCGGTCGTTGCTGGCACTGCCTGTGGACTTCGGGTTTTTGGTGGGTCGTGGGACAACGCACGGTGGTAAGATGACGTGAACGACTTCCCGCCTCATGATGGGAATTGGCCACAGCATGCACCTCCTAGTGCTATGTCAAAAGCTGTTCCCCGTTCGGGTTCGATTTGGCGTCGGCCCCATGCGGCAATAAACACCTCACGAATCGCCACGGGAAATACTTTACACGCTGAAAACATATGCGATGATGCCCAAGTTTGCATGATAGTTTAATCAGCCTGCTTAATCACTCTTCAAAGAAAAAGGCCCACCTATTATGTCCAAAAGCAGCATGTGCTCGCACGCTCGTTCCCCCAACGGGTTTGTGAACAGCTGTGTGCAAAATAGGCGAACGCTGAATCCTGACAGCACCGAGAACAAGCCCAGAATTGTCCAAAGATTCGCGAATTCTTGGGCACAAGCTGTCGGGCTCTGTCTGTTGCTCTCGTCTAGCGTGATCCATTCTAGGAAGGTCAGGGTCTCTTCATTCGGCGAGGTAAGAAAAAAAAGCATTCAACCAGGAGTTGATATAAGTACCCACATACACAGAAAGACGTCCTGGGGGAGGGGGGGGGGGGGGGGTTTAATGCAAGTGCCCACATACGCAGGAGCCGTCCGCAGAACTCCACCGCACTTGTACTCCGCATGCATATGAAAGATAGCTCTATCCAGCCCTCTATCCAGCCCTCTATCCAGCCCTCTATCCAGCACTCTATCCAGCACTCTATCCAGCACTCTATCCAGCCCTCTATCCAGCCCTTTATCCAGCCCTCTATCCAGCCCTCTATTCAGCCCTCTATCCAGCCCTCTATCCAGCCCTCTATCCAGCCCTCCATCCAGCCCTCCGTCCAGCCCTCCGTCCAGCCCTCTATCCAGCCCTCTATCCAGCCCTCTATCCGGCCCTCCATCCAGCCCTCTATCCAGCCCTCCGTCCAGCCCTCTATCCAGCCCTCCATCCAGCCATTTGCCAAAACCAACTGTGAAACGGTTTTTTTTTGCAAGCTGAATGGACAGCAGCATTTGTAGCGCAGCGTTATGACAGAGTGCTGGACACGCCATTTCACCACCAGAAATTACGGCGCCACTCTACTTTTGTTTGGTCCGAAGCCCAGGGCGCGATATAAGAGATCAATGGGTCCGCGCGAAACGTACGTCTTCTGGAGGCATGCTGTTTTCCCAACACTAAGACAAAAGTTGCCAATCGCTGTCAGCGTGAGTGCATCTCGCACAATCTGCTGAAGGCAAGGCGGCGTCCCGTGAAAAAAGTTATGAGTGCCACGCGAAAGTCCTCAAGCCATCTCCACCGCGGTGTGGAGACACGGGGAGTTTTCACACTTCTTATGCAGAAAAAAACAAAACATGCAGAAAAGTGAAAGCTTACGGAGATGCAGGCAACTTCACCTTTCACTACGTTCAAGGAAACGAGCGGTGGGGGAGAATTGACAAAATGTTTTCCGGTGCAGCCACGAGAACAGCCGCATACTTTGCTAGTCCCATGGATTGGCACGAAGAAATTGTTGAATGACGTTACACGCCGAAACAAGTTCGTACATGACATGGTATTCGGATGGGGACCACTGCGCCAGGTAACGAGTTCGCGGACCTGTCCCTACATAAACAACGGCGCGGCTTGCGGTCCCCAATGGCTGACAAGCCGCAGGATCTAGCTAAAACACAGCTGAATTGACCGACGGCACCGACAGCAACCATAGACCAGTTGTCCCGGCCGTGTCCTGACCCCGCGCTTTCAGAAGACGTCGGCAGTGGCGACCTCGGCAGGGTCGCCGGTGCTCACTGACCCAGCACTGTGTCCGTGGAGCGCGGGTCGATGTTGTCGAACTGCTGTTTGTTCCAGACGTAGCTCGGCTGTCGGCCGGCGCGTCGCTTCATGGCCCTCCACTCGGCCGTTAGGTCGCGGCCGTCCTTGCGGTGGCCCGGCTCGCCGCTCTGCGGGTCTCGGTGCTTCGTGGAGAGGAAGCTGCGCCGCCCGCCGCCGAACAACACCTGCGGCCCGGCGCGCCAAGCGGGGTCAGGCGGGGCCAAGCGGGGTCAGGCGGCCGTCAGGCGAGGTCAGGTGGCCGTCAGGCGGGCGGCCATCAGGCGAGGTCAGGCGGCCGTCAGGCGGGGCCGCGCGGGG